TCAGTTGTGCGGGGGCAGACTGAACCTGGTGTGCCGGGGGCTCACGGGATCTGGGTTAGGGTGTTATTGTCTCTATAAGAGAACATTGCCCCGTGGGGGGAGTACAGAGGGTCTGGCATTGCTGGGGGATGAACCTTCCCTGGGCTATAAAGCATCGGACTATACGAGGCTGGTGTGTGTCCATCTCTGATGGGATAGTAAGGGAGGAGCGTGGCCGAGTTGCTGCTCATCCCCGAAATTGCACTAGCTGAGAGTATGGTCAGTGGATGTTGCTGGGGGTTGACGACCACGGTGGGGGTTAGGGCGAGTTAAACGTTACCGCTGGGGAGCGTGGCTCTCTCCATGCGAGGGTGTGCGATTAGGCGTTTTGTTGGGTTGCTGAGAGTGACCGTGGGTACATGCTGTGTACGTGCGATGTCTGTGCTGGTCCTCAAGGGAGGACTGCTGGTGGGTAAGAGCAGGAAATTTTGTTGTTGTTGTCACGTGTAAATAATATTGTTGTTAAAATGTAAATACTGGGGCATCCATTGCGTTATTTTAGGTATTTATGGGGAGTTTTTTTTTAAGCGGGCTGGATTTACGTCATCTCCATTACCCTGAGGCCGGGTGGCTGTCGTGTACGACATGCGGATGTGCGTTGTTGTGCTGTGCCTCAGGGGATTGGATTCTCCTTCTCGTCACAGATTCTTCAGCTCCCGTCGCACTGGGTGTTACCTGGTGTGCTAGCTGGATGAGGACTTGAAGGAGCAATTGAACGCCGTTCGTCATTCTGCTCTACCACTTGCTCTTTGACGTTGGACTTGAGCCGAGCGGATGGAACTGCAACATGGACACGCACTAAAACATCACATTTCTGGGTTGTGCGCGTTGGCCGTTCTTGCGTGTCAGTTGCCGTTTTTGTTCATTGTGCCATTTTTATTCTTGTTGATGTTGCGCGGAGGACAGGCCGGTGTTCTGTTCCAGTTCCTGATACCTCCCCTTTCGTTGCTTGTGTTGTTGTTATAATCTCCGTTGTGTCTGGGGGACTCCTGTTTGTGATGCCTTCGCCCGCATTATTTTGTTCTGTTTCAGCCGAGGACGGCTGGGATTTTCTGTACGGGGGAGGGTAGTGTAATGCGGGCGTAAATGGGCGGGGCGGATATGACGATCCGAGAGGGAGGAGTCAGGGTGACGTGGGGGAGAAGTTATAGCGGGGAGACAGGAAGCTATCTGGGTCAGTCGGGGGAGTGAAGGGTGGTGAACACGTTGGGTGGTCGCCGTGCCTCAGCCTGGTGGCTGAGGGGCTCATGACGGCGCCAGCCAGCGGGGTGGAAGAGAGAGTGGAGGATTGAGGTAGGAAGTGGCGAGATAGCCACAGAGGCCACGAAGGGCTGAGGTAGGAAATGGCGAGATAGCCATAGAGGCCACGAAGGGCTGACATTGGGAGGTGGCGAGATCGCCACGCACGGAGGAACAGGGAGCAGAGATGGAGCTGCTGGGGGAGCAGCCATAGGGCTGTACCAAGAGCCTGCAGCGGAGCTGCAGGAGCGTGGAAGGCTACGGGAGCGAAGGCAGATGTGGGGCTGCCAGGGAGAGAGTCTCAGGAGGAGTGCCGTGTGGGAAGGAGAACGCGAACCCCAAATAAAGGACACGGAGTCAGCAAGAAGTGTCTGAGTCCTTTTATTACACTTCCATGGATGGATGGGTTTTGCGAGTTGAGATGATTTAGAAATTTCGTTAAGTGTATCTTTGCCGCGTGGCCAGACCACCAATATGTCATACACATATCTAAACCAAACAGAGGGTTTTAGTGTGATTGAACCTATTGTTTTTGTTTCCACATCTTCCATGTACAAATTCGCCTCCCCGCTCCCTGTGAGCGGGCAGGGCGCGACGTCCACCCCCTCCACTCCCCTCTCCTCCTCGTCGGCCGCCTCTCGCCGGGCTCCCGCCGATCGGCTGATCGGCCCCCCCACCCCAGCGCCCTCTCTGAGGGACATGGGGAATTGGCTGGTTCACTACCGCCCGGGGTTATCCCCGACATGCCCACGTCAACCACCACCACGACAACGAACGCGGTGGCGTGCACGCGCGCCCCTGCAGGCGCGGGTTTTACACAAAGGCCGGCGCTAATCAAAAGAAACGGCGGCAGTACGAATATGCGCGCGAACCCCGCAGGTGGTTAAGCTCTAATCTGCGGCACACCAAGACTTGCGTTAAAGGGCTGCGCGAAATTTTGCGCGCCTCGCCCTTATCGCTATTGTCGCCGCGTCAACACGCTGCGTCAACGCGCGCGAGCGCGGGTTTATCGCACCTCGCCCCCGCCCTAATTACTCATGCGGCACGCTGCAGGCGCGCGACTTTTACACAAATTACCAACACCGCGCCGACGCTGCAGCCCTGCACTCGCTCTCTCGTGCACATCGTCTCGCCGCGCAGTCGCAACACACAACAACCGCAGACACCACGCCGAGGTTCTACCCACACACACAGAAATCACACTGCACCGATACTCTGAACTAAAGTTTACTAATGGCGCAAATACACCCTACCTGGAGGGGGATATTTCGCAGGAAGGAACCCAGCTGCTCAAACGTCCTACCACGTACCTCGAAGCTGGACTCACGGCGTTCCACGGACCCTAAGAGGGTCGGAGGAGGATGAGAGAAGACTTGGCCAATCAGTCTCGCAGCAGCACTCGCTGGCATCACGCGGATGCTGTGAGCGGCCTGAAGAGGCAGGCCCGAGGGGGGGAACGTGGCGCGCGCAGCAGTAAATCCCGCGCCTACCTTTCGATTTCAACTGATGCCCCGCCCTTACCTGGAGCGTTATTTTCCGTTACACCTCGACCCATTGTCTACGCGCCCACCCTCGATCCCCCCACCACCCGAGTGCTGCGGTGGCGGCTGCGGCCAGCGGCGGCGGCGACCACCCGTTGTCCTTGTCTCTTGTGTCCTTCTTGCTAAATGTCCCGTCCTCCGTCCTCCCCTCCGAGTTATACCTCATTGCGGTTGGCCCAGGGAAGCCTTTCTTTCTGCGCCCATAAAATGTTAAGATAATTTAGGGGCACCGCAATGTAACCTGTCATGTGGGGGTCGGCCAATCTCCTGGCACCGGGAAAACGTGGGACTCTCCCTCTAGGGGCCCTTCGGATTAAAACCCGATGCGCCAGGCAACCCCCCGTCAGGACACCACGTGGGTGCGCTGCGTGCGGGTGGCGTCTTTAGTTCGGGGGCCGGGAGGGGATTGCGGCGTTTGCGGAGTTGCTCCGTGGTCGTGGCACCACGAGCCCATTGCTGCTCCTTCCTTTTGTTTGCAGAAGTCACCTTGCCACAAGAAGTAGGTGTTCAGCTAGTCTTGGGATATCTTGGGCTAAACCATTGTTCGTTACCAGAGTGTCAAGTAATTGAATTGACTCGTTGACCAAAACCCTCGTGAACAGAGAGGTCACATCAAAACTTACGAGAATTCCATTGGGGTCAAGCCTAATATCTTTAATTATATTAACACAGCGTTTACCGAAAGAAAACGCATACTGACGCCTATCTGAATGCAGTCAAACCATCACTAAGCATCAGAAATCTGTTCTTATCAAGACGCTCATTCATCGAGCTAAGAAAGTGTCAGATGGTGACAGTCTGATAAATCAAATTAAACATGTTAAAGAAGCGCTGCAAATGAACGGTTACAATGATGCACAAATCTACAGGGCATTAAATGCCAAAACCAAATAAAATAACACGAGCATTGAAACTGCCCAAGTTATTAAAACGATCAAAATACCGTACATTGCGGGAGTAACTGATAAACTAACCAGATGTTTGGAAAAACAAAACATCCGAGTCAGATTTGGCACGGTACATAAAATACATAAATTAATATCTGGTACATTAAACGAAATAGAAATAATTTTAACCATTCGAAAAGCTACCGAATTAGTGCTGCGTGGAAGCGAATCATCAAATTAGAGATTTATAAATGCATGCCTATAAAGGCCACCATACTTGAATAGGGATTACCGTCGGCAGGGCTATTTTAATACACACAGTGGACAGGAAGGACAAGATCAAAGGGCTCGCATATGTGCGTTGACTCATTAACCCCCCCCCCCCCCCCCCCCCCACTTTGTACAAGACCACATCTACGCCTCTATGTAAGGAACGAAACAGGTGGACTTCTCCACAAATCTGGCTGTCGTATGATGAAGCTGGTTGTAATTACTGGCGAAACGTTGTACCCAGATTGCAAATGTTGCGGCTTGGCTCTCCAACACAGCGGTGTGCTGTACTGGTAACGAATTGGCCACGTTCTGTTTACGTGGAAAACCTTACTAATTGGCTGTGTCGGGTGGTGGCAGGTTTTAACGACATGTTTATATATTTACACGATCTAACTCAAAAAACCTCTATTATGGATGATATTGGTCGCGAAAGCCTCCGTGTTAAACATTACGGATGATATTGGTCGTGAAAGCCTGCCACGTGTTAAACGGACTTATGTCGCGTACAGCAGTGAGGTAGGAATTGAGTGCTCCACCCCCAGAAATGACAGGACTCCAACTTGGGCAGAATGTGTCCTCTGTAGCGTCGTGGTAATCGCTGGGAGTTAACGAACGGCTTCTCCGATACCTCCTGAGCCAGATCGGTAACAGCGGTATTCCACGGTAGGACACGGAGCCTGCTGCTGTGCCATGCAGATTGACGGTCCGACCGCGAATAAGAACGTCGTCGTCGTCGTCATCATCGCGAGGTTTGGCCGCAGGCGGCGTAGCATTGCCCCGGCCTCGTGTGGATACAATCACAGGCGGGTTTTTATTTCAGTCGAACGCGACCAGGCATTTGTCACCCCCCACCCCCAATCAGGACGTCGCCTTCAAATCGGCGGTGACCGATGTGGTGAAGCATCCGCATGGGGGGGGGGGGAGGCGGGGCGGCGAGTGGGTGGGCGGCGGTGGCAGAAATCCGGTCACCGCGCGACGTTGACGTGGGCGTCTCTCTGCCTGTGGCCTGGGTCGTGCGCAGGTCTGGGCGGCCTGTTCGGGTGGCCGGACCTGGACATGGACCCCGTGAGTCCGACCTGCAGCCTGGGCGACTCCGTGTGCACAGGTCAGAAACCGCCCCCGCCCTCCAAGCACCCCTTGACCCCCTGACCTCTGCCGGCCGCCCCCACGGGACCGCCACCACCACCACCACGTCCCATCTCCACATTGCCGGTCACACACACGACCGTCGCGGCCGCGGCTTCTCACTTCTTACCCCGGCACTCGCCGGAATTGTGCCACAGGCTTCGTGTGGAGTGGGGTATTCGCGGCGTAAGGCACTACCACTGGAGCCTGTGTGCGTCATAAAAAAACGATATTATCGTGACCCACGTCCCTGTTATCCTACGAAAAGGTTTATACAATTAATCTCGACAAAATATGGCGAAATGGATGCACTGTGCGATAATTCCCGGAAAAGTGTTCTGAAGTCTTCCGGATGTCCTTGCCGAATTATCCAATATTCCGAATTATGTACAATGGCAATAGCCAGTGCCTCTTGCCCCAATAAAAAAAAATCCTAATTTATTTTAAAAACTCTTCACATACCATAATACAGTGATACCTCGGTTCACGAACTTAATTCGTGAACTGACTCTGGTCGCGAACCGAATTGGTCGTGAACCGAGGCACATTTTCCCATAGGGTTCAATGTAAATCCGGTTAATCCGTTCTGACATTTTTTTTTGGTTTTTGAAGCACAAAAATATTAAACAAATTACAATACACATTAGTACTGTACAGTATAGTAATGTATAAAGAGAGAACACTAACCTTGCTTGAGATGACTTCAGTAAGCACTCAAACGGGCAAACTGTACAATACAGTAAGTACAGTACAGTAGTACAGTACAGTAGTGTATGTGCTAAAAAGCACACCAAAAAGCAAAAAGTCACTGAAAGTGTCTTCACAGTACTCACAGTACTTATTTCTGCGTCTCTTCTTCTCTCCACGATCTTCCTACAGGAAGTCACGACCATGTGACAGCCTGGAAATAGCATTAAAATGGCCGCGGCTCCTGTTCGTGAACCGAAGCGGAGTTCGTGAACCGGAGCATATTTTAATGAACTTTTCTGTTCGTGAACCGAGTTGTTCGTGAACAGAAGCGTTCGTGAACCGAGGTATCACTGTACAGGGTTTTTTGAGTTAGATCGCGTAAATATAGAAATGTGTCGGTAAACCTGCCACCACCCGACACATCCAATTAGCAAGGTTTTCCACGTAAACAGAACGTGCCAATTCGTTATTAGTACAGCACACCGCTGTGTTGAGCAAAGCCACAACATTTACAATCTGAGTACGACGTTTCGCCAGTAATTACAACTAGCTTCATCAGGCGACAGGCAGATTTGTGGCGAAATCCTCCTGTTTCGTTCTGGATTTTGCTCGCGAGATGTTCAGAGCGGTGTGCAGCCCAGAGTATGCGGGCGTGTGGTTGTTTGGGTGTGTGGGTGTGTAGGCGTGTGGCTGTGTGCTGGTGTGTGGGTGTGCGGATGTATGGGTGTGTCAGCGTGTGGGTGTGTCTGGGTGTGTGGGTGTGTGGGTGTATCGGGGTCTGTAGGTGTGTAGGCGTGTGGGTGTGTCGGGGTGTGTCGGGGTGTGTGGGTGAGTCAGCGTGTGGGTGTGTCGGGGTGTGTCGGGGTGTGTGGGTGTGTGGGTGTCAGCGTGTGGGTGTGTCAGGGTGTGTCGGGGTGTGTGGGTGTGTCAGGGTGTGTCGGGGTGTGTGGGTGTGTCGGGGTGTGTCGGTGAGTGAGCGTGTGGGTGTGTCGGGGTGTGTGGGTGTGTCAGCGTGTGGGTGTGTCGGGGTGTGTGGGTGTGTCGGGGTGTTCGGGTGTGGGGGTTTGTCCGGGTGTGTCGGGGTCTGTTGGGGTGTGTGGGTGTGTCGGGGTGTGTGGGTGTGTCAGCGTGTGGTTGTGTGGGTGTATCGGGGTGTGTGGGTGTGTCAGCGTGTGGGTGTGTGGGTGCATCGGGGTGTGTCGGGGTGTCTGGGTGTATCAGGGTGTGTGGGTGTGTCAGCGTGTGGGTGTGTCGGGGTGTGTCGGGGTGTGGGTGTGTGGGTGTATCGGGGTGTGTGGGTTTATCAGCGTGTGTGGGTGTGTCAGCGTGTGGGTGTGTCGGGGTGTGTCGGGGCGTGGGTGTGTGGGTGTGTCGGGGTGTGTGCTGTGTGGGTGAGTATGGATGTGTGGGTGTGTCAGCGTGTGGGTGTGTGGGTGTGTCGTGGCGTGTGGGTGTGTCGGGGTTTGTCGGGGTGTGTCGGGGTGTGTGCTGTGTGGGTATGGGTGTGTGAGTGTGTCGGCGTGTGGGTGTGTCGGGGTGTGTGGGTGTGTCAGCGTGTGGGTGTGTGTTTGTGTCGGGGTGTGTGTGCTGTGTGCAATGCCGGGTTGCGGTGTGTCCACGTGACCAGGTGTCCTGCAGGCGCTGTCCGTGGTGCTGATTGCGATGTCCTCTGTCTCCCCCTCTGTCTCTCGCTCTCTGTCTCTCGCTCTCTGTGTCTCTCGCTCTCTGTGTCTCTCGCTCTCTGTGTCTCTCGCTCTTTGTCTCTCGCTCTCTGTGTCTCCCTCCCTCTCCGTCTCCTCGCAGAGTCCGACTCCGCGCCCTTCTCTACCCCTGCCGACTCGCCCTCCAAGCCCTGGCCGGGCCCGGACTTCGGCAGCGTCGAGGGCCAGGACGCCGGCTACGGCGCCTACGCCGGCTACGCTGATCTCGGCGCGGCGCCGCCACCGCACACGACGCCGCGCACGGCCCCCGAGGTGCCGGTGCTGGCGCTGGGGGTGGCAGCGCTGCCCATCGAGTGCCGCGTGTGCGGGGACCGCGCCTCCGGCTTCCACTACGGGGTCCACGCCTGCGAGGGGTGCAAGGTGGGGCAGGCGGCGGTGCTGGTGCCGGCGGTGGTGGCAGTTGTGGTGGTGGTGGTGCCGGCGGCGGTGGTGGCGGCGGTGGTGTTGTGGTGGCGGCGGTGGTGTTGTGGTGGTGTTGTTGTGGTGGCGGTGGTGTTGTTGTGGTGGCGGCGGTGGCGGCGGTGGCGGCGGTGGTGGTGGTGGTGACGGTGGTGGCGGCGGTAGTGGTGGTGGTGGCGGCGGCGGTGGTGGTGGTTGTGGTGGTGGTGGCAGCGGTGGTGGTGGTTGTGGTGGTGGTGGCGGCGGTGGCGGAAGTGGCAGCGGTGATGGCGGTGGCGTCGTAATCTGAGCTCACCCTGGCATTGCGTGTTATTTTACCACTTTTCTCATTGTTTACCTTCTCTTGATGTATTTTTATCACTTCACGAGGGATTTTTTGGTTTGTTATTTTTACAACGCGAACGCGCACGTCTGCGTGTGTGTGTGCTTGTGTGCATTTGTGTGTCTGCGTGTGTGTGTGCGCATATGTGCGTGCGTGTGCTTGTGTGCTTGTGTGCCTGTGTGCATGTGCATTTTTTATGTCTGCGTCTGTGCCTTTGTGTGCTTGTGTGTGTGCATGTGTCTGCGTGTATGTGCATGTGTGTGAGTGTGTGTGTGCGTGTGTCTGCGTGTGCGTGTGTGCAAGCTCGTCTCTGTAAATGTTTAAATGTTTTGTCATAAATCGGGCAAAGTGCCCCTGAAACCGCAGTGGTACGGAAGGCGCTCTGTAAATAAAGACGATTATTGCAATCATCATCGTCATCGCAATTTAAACTAAATTACTTTTTTATTTTACCAGGTAAGGCCCCACTGAGCTACGTAGCTCTTTTTAAGAAGCAGCCTGGCCATCACAAGTGATAGCTCAACAAAGTGGCTTATCACTTGTAATGTTGATTCTAAATCTGGAGGGAGAAACCAGAGGACCCGGAGGAAAATCCACGGGGAGAGAGGGAGGCACTCCAAACTCCATATGTACAAGAGTGAGGGTCGGGATCGAACCCCAGGACCTCCCGCATACCAGGCGAGGTAGTTAACATCTCGCCACCGTGCCTTCAATTACTCCACTCGTCACGAGGGTCGCTGTGATGGAGCCTGCGTTGTCTCTCCGTGTCGACGGTTCGCGACCACGCTTTGCTTGGTTGCTGGCCGTGTGGCGTTCCCACCAAAGGCTCGTCGTAAACTCTCCACCCACCCCACGCAGCCAAAGCAAACATTTGCAGCAGCTGATCCCTCTGTACACTCCCAACGAGGTCGCCGAGATCTTTCGATCGCCTTCTCAGCACTCCCGAGGTCGAGGCTCTGTTCCTGCAGGGCCCATCGGGATTTTCCCAGTGCAGTGAGAAGACAATCGGAGTCGTTAGATATCTGTAAGTCTCTCTTGGAATGTAAGAATAGGGTTTACCCTTTCTGGCAATAAAACAGTTAAGATGTTAAAACACCAAACCAAAACCTTTTGCAAGGAATCACGTCTGCATTAACCACATATACTTGTGGTGAACATGCAAACAAAACACATGCTCTGATAGTATGTACATTGTCTTTGAAACTGATTGGTCCACGCCAGAGACAGCTTTCTTTAGAGCCTCGTCTCAAACAGAGTTAGACCAGAGGACATCGCCAAAAGGCGAACAGCACAAAGACAATGCCACCATCAGGGTCAGCAGCTACATCATAGGACCTCTCTGGGAAGCTTACCTCTTTAAATTGGGCTCAACCCCATAATTCTGGCCGTTTCACCCTGCAGTTTCTGTTTACTCTCCTGGCTTTCCATACACGGTGGTGGCGAATTGGGATCCGCGGATGAGATGCGCCACTTTAGACATGTGGATGATGATCACAGTCCGTTTTATCCTACAGCGCGGTAGTAGTTGTTGTTGCTTTCCTGAAGAACGCCGCGTTATGGAAACATCGCGTTATAATAAATATTGCATAATAGTTAAGGTAATAAAGCACGGTCCGCGATAACACGTGAGATGCGTACACAGGCGGAACAAAGATTGAGGCGCGTGGGTAGCATCTAGAAGCACCCAGCAGCATCCCGCCTTGTGCGATGATAATAATGCCGAGGCAGCCGTACAACCGTTTATTCCTACTCGGGCGACACAGTTCCGTTGATTCGATACGAACCCTTCACCGCCGATCGTTACGCGGCCTAACACTAAACTCGGCAGTGCATCAGAGCCCTGGCTGCGAAATCCCCGTGCCGGGTTCTCAGTGCCGCTGTCACGGCCGTTGCGGCGACGGCTCCACCGTGTGGGAGCATCCACTTGTTAGCTGGTGACGCACTCTCTCTAACTCTCCTTCTCTCCCTCCTCCCTCCCCTCTCCTCCTCCCTCCTCCCAGGGATTCTTCCGCCGCACGATCCGCATGAAGCTGGAGTACGAGAAGTGTGAGCAGCGCTGCAAGATCCAGAAGAAGAGTCGGAACAAGTGCCAGCACTGCCGCTTCCAGAAGTGCCTCGGCGTGGGCATGTCGCACGAGGGTGAGCGCGGTGATTGAGATCGCCCGGAGAGACAACGACTTGGGGGAGGCCTTCGTACAGCAGTGGATAGTGACAATAACGATGATAACCATGATGATGATGATCATGACGCTGACCATAACGATGATGACGATGGTGATGATCATGACGATGACCATAACGATGACGACGATGGTGATGATCATGACGATGACCATAACGATGACGACGATGGTGATGATCATGACGACGACGATAATGATAATGATAAACGCCTTTTGCCGTGATCGTGAGGATGCCGGCATCTGGCAGCAGATAGATTCTGTTGAATGACGACGACGACGGTGGCGGTGACTGCGTGGCACCCACAGCGATCCGGTTCGGGAGGATGCCCCAGGCAGAGAAGGAGCGGCTCATCGCCGAGGTGTGCGCCAACGGGCTCGTGGGAGGGCCCATCTCGGCCTCCGCCCTCCTGGTCTCACGCGGCGGCGGGGGGGGCGGGGGGGGAGCCCGCGGCACCGGTGGGGGGCCGCCCCGGTGCTTGGCGGTGGGGGGGGTCTCGGGAATGGTGGCGGGGGGGGGCGGCGGAGGAGGAGGGGGGGGGGGCGGGGGAGACGGAGGCGGCTGCGGCGGGTGACCTGCGCTCGCTGGCGCGCGTCATCCAGGAGGCCTACCTCCGTATCTTCCCGCTCTCCAAGGCCCGGGCGCAGGCCATCCTGGCCGGCAAGGCGGCTGGCAGTGCGGTGAGCATCGTGGGCGGCAGGGCGGCACGAGGAATCAGCGGAAACGCGCGGTTCGCCTTCCCTCGCGGTCCTCGGAGACGGAGAGACGGAAGGGGAGGGAGGCGAGACTCAGAGACAATGGAGGGGGGGACAGATGTGGCCGCTGGCTGATTGCCGAAGCTCTGTTGTCCTGTGTTGAGATTTTCAGCTCGTTTCATCAATAGCAGCTAGGAAACTAAATAAATCAATCAATACAAAGAGATGTTGAGCCAGGTCAGCGACCCTGGGGGAATTCTTGGCACCCCCCGGCATGCCACGTCCAGTATACAGCCTCTTGCCATCGCTGTGGAGTCTACACGTCATCACGGTCGTCTCCTGTAGTCTATCAGTGACATGGAAAATATTCAGTTATAAACCTGGGTCTCTGTATAAGTCGGTGCGTCCATTGTGTGTGGATCTCTTATCTAATTCTATTCGTCTCTTTGTAAGTCTCCATGCAGTGCCACGAACACGCAATTGTAGGGTGGTGCCTTTACATTGACGATGCGGCACCGTCCGGCTTTTGGCGCACTCGGTTTAGCGACGTCCGACCCTGACGATTTCGTCTCTCGGTCCGCCACATCCCGGCAGGTGGTGATCCACGACCACGACTCGCTCGCCCGGGCAGAGGACACTATCCTGCACAAGCTGGGCTACGGCACCATTCACGAGAGCAGCGGCGCCATCGACGTCAGCCTCGCCAGCGTCGCCACCGGCGGGGGCGGCTGTGGCGGCTGCGGCGGAGCCTGCGGCGGCGCCGGTGGCGCCACGGGGGACGACGGGGCGGCGTGCGATGCGGCGGCGCGCGGCCGAGTGCTCGGCAACGACCGCATCTTCATCACCGTGGTGAGCGGCGGCGGCGTCGGCATCGGCGGAGGAGGCTGCGGTGCCGACGCTCAGGCCGACCTGCTGCGGAAGGGCGCGCCGGAGATCCGCATCTTCAACCGCTGCCACTACCGCGTGGTGGAGTCCGTGCGGGAGGTCACCGAGTTCGCCAAAAGCATCCCGGGCTTCATGGCCCTCGACCTCAACGACCAGGTCACGCTGCTCAAGGTGTGTCCCGGGGGAGGGGCGGGCGAAGGCGCGGCTACCCGGTTAGTGGGCGGGGCTAACTGCGTAGTGGGCGGGGCTAACTGCGTAGTGGGCGGGGCTATCTGAGCGGTGGGGCGGGCCTACGTGGGCAAGGGTTGGCAGTGGGGTGGGCGGGGCCTGCGAGCTAGTAGGGGCGAGTGAGTGGGTGGGCGTGGCTATATGGAAGTGGGCGGGGCTGGCACAGAAAGGGAGGAGCTACAGCTCACCACGACGGTTGAGCCTTACGGAATTACCGTCACTGGAGCTCGATGACTAACTCCAGCTTGCCCTGTGTGCCCGTGTGCCCGCCACGCCAGTACGGTGTGTACGAGGTGATCTTCGCGATGCTGGCTGCCCAGATCAACAAGGACGGGCTGCTCATGGCGTACGGCACGGCGTTCATCACGCGCGAGTTCCTGCGCTCGCTGCGCACGCCCTTTTGCCACGTCCTCGAGCCCAAGTTTGTGTTCTCGGTGCGGTTCAACGCCCTGGCGCTGGACGACACCGACCTGGCTCTCTACGTCGCCGCCATCATCCTGTGCGGCGGTGAGAAACACTGACCGGTCGATCGATCGGTCGCCCCCCCCCCCCCTCCGTCTGTGGTGTTCATTCTGGGCTCTGTGTTGAACTTCTTTCGCGCCACACGTAGCCAAACGAGCTCCCCATCACCTTGTGGCGGTGAGAGACACCGATGCGTCGCCGCCACCTGCGATGTGCAGTCTGGCACTGAACTCGTTTTCTTATTGCACCAGGTAGGACCCACTGAGCTACGTAGCGCTTGTTCAGGAGCGATCTGCAGGCTGTCACAGATGACAGCTCGACGAAGTGGCTCGTTGACGTATGGACATTTATAGCAGTCAAATTCTCTAAACACGCGACGTTGATTCTAAATGTTGAGTGCAAAACCGGAGGACCCGGAGAAAAATCCACGTGACCACGGGGAAAGAAATACACAGCAGGCGTCAGGGTTAGGATCGAACTCACGTTCTCCTGTATACCAGGCGTGGTAGTTA